TTGCCAAGGGGGAGAAGGTAGATAATGAAGAGGAGGGGTCCCAGGACAGAGCCCTGGGACACACCAGAAGAAACGGGGAGGGACTGTGAAGGAATTGAGTTGGATGAACTGAGAGTGCCCAGTGAGATTGAATGAATGGAGTGAAACCAGTGTAAGGGCGTGTGAGTGATGCCTATGGTGGAGAGTCTATTCAGGAGGTTGGGGTGGGAAATTGTGTCAAACGCTGCACTCAGGTCAAGGAGGATGAGGATGGAGATTAAACCGGCGTCAGCTGCCATGAGAAGGTCATTGGTGATTTTTAAGAGGGCTGATTCTGTACTGTGAGGGGTACGGAAACCAGACTGGAATTGTTCGTAGAGATTGTTATAGGTGAGGTGGGAGTGAAATTGAGAGGCAACAATTTTTTCAAGAAGTTTGGAAATGAAAGGAAGGTGAGAAATTGGTCGTAGGTTATTGAAATCATTTGGATCTGAACCAGTTTCTTTCAGGATTGGAGTGACAGCTGCAATTTTGAAGGGGACAGGAACAATTCCAGTAGGCAGTGAGGAATGAATAATGGCTGAAATGAAGGGAAGCAGAGAGGGTAAGCAGGATTTGACCAGGACTGTGGGGAGGGGATCTAGTTGACAGGAAGAAGTCTTTAATTTAATAATGATGTCCAAGATTATTGAAGGATGGGGGAGTTCAAAAGAGGATAACTCTTGACAAAGGGTGGGGAGGTCGGTGCAGGGGAGGGGTACAGAGGAGCCCAGGTGCTGGTGGACTTTATTGACTTTGTCAAGAGCGTTGCAGGTGTCAGAAGAATAAAAGGGTGTGTGTGTGTGGGAGGGGGTTGTAGGGAGACAGGGGGTTGAATGATTTGGTTTCAGATAGAAAAGAGAGTCCTCGTATTTCCAGTGTTAAGAGCAGATGAGTCCAGAGTAGTATTGGGATTTGGCTTGAGAGATGGAGTCCTTGTAATGGGAAAGTTGAGCTATGTAGATGTCCTTGTGAACAGCGAGACCAGTTTTTCTGTCGAGTCTTTCAAGCTGCCGAGTTTTGGATTTAATGGAACGCAGATGAGGGGTGAACCAGGGGGCAGACCGAGTAAAAAAAGACAGAGCGGGACTTGACAGGAGCAAGCGTATTGAGAATGTTGGTGAGGCCCGTGTTGTATTGGGAAACCAAAACATTAGGAGGGGAGTCCGTGTCCGGAGTTAAGGTGGCGATCCTTGCATCGAGAGAGTCAATGTTGATGTCTTTAATATTACGGTAAGAGATCTATGCAGGGTGATTTGGAGGTAGAGAGCCAGAGGGTGACGTTAAATGAAATGTGGAAGTGGTCCGTTAGAGGAAGTTCATCAGCAGTACAGTTGGAGGGGGTGGGGCCAGAGCAGCAAATCATATCCAGGCTGTGTTCTTTAATGTGTGTGGGGAAGTCTGCAAACTGATGGAAGCCAAAACTGTCAAGTGAAGAGGCGAAGTCCATGTCGAGCAGATGGGTATTGGGTATTGTCCATGTGTGTATTGAAATGCCCCAGAATAATTATATTTGGTGATAGAGATGAGAGATGGGTGCGGACAGCAGACAATTCATTTAAAAAGTCACAATGAGGTTTGGGGGCACGGTATACAGTGATCCCTCGCGGTTCACTTTCCGCGGCTTCGCTGTTTCACGGATTTTTTTAGTGCATTTTTTTTTAATGCTTTTAAACAGTAAATTGCGTTCTGCATCCTGATTGGCTAAGGCACTGACCGATGTGAACAGTCTCCGCACCTTGTCTCTGTACAGCTTGCCAAATTTACCTTAGCAAATTTTTGGTCTTTGGTTTCATTGTCTCAGTGGCAGATGCTGGTCTGTCAAGGAGGGGAAGCTCAATTTCGGCCTACATCATAAATGTGTCCGTCTATTTATACGTGAATTCTTCTCTCCGTTCCTTTTCAAAAAAAATGAAAAGGATGCCTTCACCATAAGATCGGTGATTGGCTCATTTCGCTGTCAATCAAAAAGATTCAGCCTCAGACAGATCATCCAATCATCATGCAGAAAGCTGAGCTTCCTGGCCAGCCTATAAACACCCACTGTCCATAAACTCCCAGAGATGCTGAGCGTCCAATGGGCGGGACAAAACCAACATTTATCCAATGACTCGTCTTGTTTCAATGCATTGGGACACCCTACACTGAACTCTCTCGACGCCCAATCCGCGCTGTAGACGCTCAGCGTCCACACAGTGTAAAGCACAGTGAAGCTGCGGGAATGAATAAGAAGAAGGCCGCGTCATAACTAGCAATAAAAAGCTGATTCGGAACAAAAGCTGAGCGCGTTGTAGCGCATATTTAGTCAATGACATGTCCACACAATTGTACGTACACACATATGTTTGATCACTTACTTTTTGACATTTTAGGGGAAGCTGAGCTTCCCTTGCAGTCTTAGAGCAATCGCCTCTGCATTGTATACATAGTTCAGTATTGTATAATAACTGTAAAAAGTAAAGCTGACTATCAAGTACCAAGTACAACTTTATTGTCAAATGTGCTGTATGTGAAACATACAGCACATTTGAAATTTCGTCCCTCTCACATTTTTTTGCTTCTTTTAATAAATCCTACTTCATGGATTTCACTTATCACTGGTTCTTTTTGGAACGTAACCCCCGTGATAAATGTGGAATTACTGTACTGTGGCAATGATCGTGAGATTGGGGCCGGAAATTTGACAGGTGGGACATTCAAATGAGGAGAGAGGAGGGAGGGAGATTGGAAGAACTTTCTACTTCTCGCGGTATAATATCGCGAGACCACCTCCGGGACCCGAGCCGCGGGGCTTGGATAGGTAAACAAATCCCGGCCGGGAGAGTAGAGTCATTGAGCTGGGAAAAGTCGCCAAGAGTTTGCCAAGTCTCATTCAAACAGAGAAAGTCAAGCTTACGGTCTTTGAGGATATCCTGGATAAGATAACCCTTCCCAGTAAGCTAACAGATGTTGAGTAGTCCGAAGTTGACGCCGGCAATATCGCTGTTGCGAGGAGCATTAGCTGACGTAGCCAGGCCGGCTAAAACGCTGTGATCCGCGGACTGGCCGTTGTGTCTGCGTGACCGGCGAGAGGATGACTAGAAGGAGGTGATGCCTTTGGAGCCATCGAGGTGGAAGCTCCGACAAGACCCATGGTGGATGTATTTCCGGGAAGGATGAAGAGCGATGTCCGGGAAGTGGTGTAGCGCAGGTGGAGAGCCCGACCACTGGAAGCGGAGCCTGAGGTGCTGTGCCACTGAGTACTGTAGCAGTCCTTCCATAGGTTAATGGAGGAGCGACAGGATGGTCCATAATATTATGGCCCAGACAAAGGCCCTGTTGACCCTCGTCATGGGGTACAGAGGGGTGGAGATGGCACGGGGCCTCGTCTGAGGGCCGAACAGGTAGGACACTGTGATAACACGATTGAGAACAATCGTATGACGATTGACGGTTTACAATCAAAATGGATTGGGACACGAGTGTAAGGCTTTTCTTATGACGACAGTAAAAACGTAACCGTAAAAGACCGTAAAAAGACGCTAAAAAATTGTGGGTGAGCAGCGGCAGCCAGACGCGCCAGCATTCACTCAACCCGGAAAATGCAGTTCCCGTTCCAAATGTGCTCTGTGTGCAACATACAATGCAGTTCCCGGTCCACCAGGAGGCGCCCATTGAGAGGGTGGGTACTGTCATGATACTGTTCTTGTGTTTTCTCCAGCAGGTGGCAGTGGAGAACTTCTCTTCCAGCGTCACACCTGCTGCTAATTTGATCATCATGATTAAGCCATGTATTTAAGGACTGCCAAGATCCCATGTCCCTTCTCAGACTATTGACCTTGTCGCTGCTCTTGCTCAAGTGTTGTTTTCTAGACATCTCAATCTCATCATAGTCACTTTTGCCTCTAGCTCTTTGGTGGTATTTTTATTATTTTGATTTCGAGCTTGCTCTTGTGTTTGGTTTCATGCGATTGAGCTCTACTCATTTCATTTTTGCAACAGTTTTTTGTTAAGGCATTGTTTTTTCTGACCATCAATTTCTGTTTATATTTTAGTTTTTTTGGTCCCAAGTTTGGTTTTGTGTCTACGTTTCTGAACTTGACAGGTTGAATCATGGATGTACGGTTACCTCTTTCAGCTGAGAACTCACTAACAGCAGCGCTGTGAATAGCCTCAGGTTTTACTTCAAATCTTTGCTCACTAAACAGTCTGAATTCTGTTGAGGAATTTCAGGCTTAATATGAGTACTATTGATACTAGTCTCTTTCCTGGACTTCTGTTGAAACATGTAAAACAAAGAATGTAGTGTTAAGCTTACATCCTCTTCCCCCTTGAGTGATTAACAGTCCCCAAATGTCTTCTTTCGCATCCCCATCTCGGCAAAGTCCCCGAAGGCTGTCAAGTTCCCCTGAGGAGGAACTCTTATCTCAAGATTGACCCACAGCAGGGTAGGTCTGGACTTGCCCAACATGTCAAGATCGAACTGCATTGACCTTTCTCTGTTTCTGATTTTTGCATAAGGGGATGGACTGCCCGCCCCACATTAACATTTAATCCCAATATAAACGTGACACTGTATTTTTCCTTTGCTTCCTGACTGAAATCTGAAACTCTCAGAAGCCCGAATCGATTCATATTGTGTTGTGATAAACTGCAGAAAAGACAACGTGGTGTTGGGTTTTTCTTCCACCTTATCGAGAAATAAAAGAACCTGTGTCCAAGGAGGGCCATAAGGAAATGGACAGATCCCCTCCACTACAATTCACATTGTAGTGGAGGGGATCTGTCCACAACTGAAAAAATATTCTGTATGTTCGATACACATGATCATGATCATTCTTTAAATATCAGTGTGGTAAATTGAAAAGTTTTTGATTAGTCATGGAAGAAACGAATCAAATTTAAATATTTAAGCAAATTACATGAGTTTTTGAAAAAAATGAAAACAAATGACAGAAGCTAAAAAGGAAGAGCATAAGTTAAATAGTAGTGACTAAAGGTACCTTTTTTAAGACAACAATTCCCTCTTGACTTTCACCATTTGCGATTAAGTGAAACATGGTGCCCTCCTCCCCTGGTACAATGGAATAGTCCACCTTTGCATTTCTGTCGAGGTCAAGATCATCGGCCAGAATCCGGCCCACAACCGAACCCGGTAAGGCTGTTTCAGGAACCACAAGATGAAAAATACCTGTGGATCATAGACAGACAATTAGATTATTTAGAAAGGTCTTATCATGCAAATTCAACTGTTTTGAGCTTTTAGCCATGTTGAAATGATCATTCCTCACCAAAAACATCCTATTGCTAGTGCTATTTTCCCCCATTCTTGCTCATTCCACCTCTGTAAGCAACAGCTCTGCCCAATCCAAGAAAAGGACTTGGCTCTCGCTACCTTAAAGTAAGAAATGGATAAGTACCGCCATACCACAAGTGGCGCCCCCATCCCGCCGCTTGCCTGTTGTAAAAGTAACACTGGCAGTGGGGTCCCAGGCCGAGCTAAGTGATGTGTGGCCTTGGGCTAGTCTCCCTAGTAAGAGCTGTTTATTACTGTTTCATGGGTGGTGTGCACAGCAGCAAGCTTTCGGACAATCTCATAAAAGGGGTTCCACACAAGGACAGGCAGGGTTTTCGTGAGCCAGGTGTCTTCCAGATTAAAAAAATAGCCACCAAAATAACTCATATTTAAGAAAAAAAAAAAAAGCCCGGTGGTCAAGTGGTTAGCGCGCAAATCCCCTCACACAATGCAGAGGTGCGGGGTTCGATTCCGGCTCCGGCCTCCCTGTGTGGACTTTGCATGTTCTCCCTGTGCCTGCCTGCGTGGGTTTTCTTCTAGCAGTCCGCTTTCCTCCCACATTCCAAAAATATGCATGACAGGTTACTGGAACACTCTAAATTGTCCCTAGGTGTAAGTGTGAGCGTGAATGGTTGTTCGTCTATGTGTCCCCTGACTACTGCCTGAAGACAGCTGGGATAGGCTTCAAGCACCCTCATGACCCTCGTGAGTATTAAGTGAATCGGAAAATCGATGGATGGAAAAAATAAAAATTTGTGCCAAAGATAATATTTAGATATATTTATCTGTGGAAATCTTAAAATAGCATGACAAGGCCCCGTTAAAAAGGTGAAGATTCGGATACTGAATCCATCGAAACAGGATTAATTCATTCAAAGGTTTCACTCACTCTTGGAAAAACGTGGTGGGTTGTCATTGACGTCGTCCAACGTGATGTTGATTGTTGTGGTAGCGGTCAGTCCCCCACGTTGACCACCCATATCTTTGGCTTGGATTGTAACCTGATATTCGTCCTTCTCTTCACGATCCATGTTGGCTAAAGCTGTCCTGATCACTCCTAGAGGGAAAATATCCATTTAAGATTTCATCACAGACATGATGGATAAACATTTGTGTATTTAAAACTACAGTATCAATTGCCAACGAAATCATGAATAATGATTTTGATTACAAAATGTTGTATGATTATGTTCAATGAGTAATGAGAAAATGTGAGGTCACTGGTACTCACGAGAGGGAGCATATTACTCCTGCTATGACATCCCTTCACGGGCTCCCTGCACATTTTAGAGTTCTTTTTAGGATTCTAGCACAGTATTTGTTTTCAAGGTCTGGACTCATTTTACCTCTCTGAGCTCCTCCACCCCTACGCACCTGCCTGGTGCCTCAGGCCTGTGGATGAGACACTATTCGAGATACATCGGACTAAGTGAAGGCTCAGAGGGGATCAAGCGTTTTCCATTGCTGGTCCCTCTGTTTGGGATACCTCCTGCTAAACGTTAGGCAAGCTCCCTCGTTGTCCATCTTTAAAACTCATCTGAAAACTCATTTTTATTTTTTGGGTTTTGACAGAATGTAGTTTAAGACATATTGTGTGTCCTTGTATCAGGGCAACTTCCCCGTTTTGTACCACACCCAAAAACTGCGCATACATACATGCACGTGTGCACTCACGTGCACGCGCACGTGCACATTTGCACGTACAGTGCATTGACACATGCAACCAGGCATGGTGCACATCATACACTGATCATCGACAGCCTGGGGGCACCAAAACAATCAAGCTCGTTAAAAAAACCAAAAAACAAAAAACAAACAAAAAAAAAAAGTCATAGTTGGAATTATAATAATACCAACATATAATACTTATAATACAGGTTTGTAAAGTATGTTTATAAATATATGGATTACAAAAATAACTGTGCAGATCGCTCGTCTGTCTACTTTTGGTGCCCCACCACCTTCCCTCTCTTACAGAGTAGTTTGCTCCATTATGCTTCAATCGCAAATTTGGCAGAAGTTTATTTTTGGATATCAGGACATGTTGTTGGAGGTGCAAAAGAGGAAAAGAAAAACACAGCGAGATGATGCTCGCACGTCACTTGTGCTTAAGACAATGTTTTAAAGAACAATTGTTTGTTTATTTTGGTACAGCCATGTTTAGATGACCACAAGAACCACAGCCATGTTTCGGTGATGCGTTTAAATGCACTTCAGTAATGCGATAATCAAAAAAATCTGGTTTACATGGTTGAGTCAAGAGTTTGATTTCCTTCCAAATACATGACATAAAACTCTTGGTCTCAGTAAAGACCTTCCTCCTCCTGTGATCTTACATACAGAATATATATATATATATATATATATATATTATCGTAAATAGGAAGTTCCCATGGGAATTGCGGAGAATGTATTGGAAGTGTATCATTAGAGCTACTGGGTGATGAATAGATGCATGCTATAGATGCATGAAACATTTAAGATCAAGCTTTGGAGTGAACCTTCCATTTTTTTTAAATTCCTGGTTTACTCTTGTCATTTCTATAAATTCCCGCTGAAAGCTTTCATTTGTGAAAATAGTGTAATGTCGCAACCCTTTTGACACCTAAATATTAAAAATGTCAATGCTGACTCTGAGGCAGGAAGAGCGCAAGAGTTTGGGCAAACTCGTGTGACTACAACGCGTGACAAATTGGACTGGTGCTCTCATGTGCATACTGTGCTGCTGCTGTTGTAGAAAACGGAGAAAACGACAAAAAGGTGCTGTCAGCATACTGAGATGGGATGGAGCATACTCCAGTGTGGTTGTGTGAACACATTTGTGACTTGCCTTATCTGCACTGCAGTATTATAACTCATACGTGTACAGCATGACAGTTGTTGGGAAATGTAGGGCTCGACCGATATAGATCGTTTGAGACCGATGCCGATTCCAATATTTTCAATCTGCGATTAATCGTCAGATTATTTGTAAAAATCTATTTTTTGGTCCCGTAACGCTTTCAACAACAATGGATGAATGGATTACAGGCTGATTGTTTTACACGATTGTTTCTTTTAGCATTTGTTTAATTTTCCAATGGAGCGGCATTTTCAAGTACAAAAACATGCAAAAAAAAAAAGTCATGAGTGGTTAGGGCGTCAACCCCACAGTGCAGAGGTACCGGGTTCGATTCCAGCTCCGGCCTTCCTGTGTGGAGTTTGCATGTTCTCCCCGTGCCCATGTGGGTTTTCTCCGGGTACTCCGGTTTCCTCCTACATTCCAAAAACATGCATGGCAGGCTGATTGAAGACTCAAAATTGTCCCTAGGTGTGAGTGTGAGCACGAATGGTTGTTCGTCTATGTGTGCCCTGCGAATTTCTCAGTCAAAACAAAAAATATATATATATCCGGCAGGCCTGTGGATTTCACGGTCATGATCGTTACCGGTAGCGTGTCGTTTCCGTGGCGTCATTTTGACGTTACCGAAAAATTGTTTCCCATAAAAGTCACCACACAGGAGTTGACTGTACGCGATCGAATCTCTCCTGTGTGACCAAGGCGATTTCACTGTGCTTGTATATGTGTTTGTGGTGTGGTGTGTGAGTGTGTTTCTTCTAATTTACTTTCGTTTTGTTTTGTTTTCAGTGTTGGGGGGGCGGAACAGATAACGTTATGTGCTCATGCGGGTTACTATTTTAGTCTGCAAACTGAGAAATCGCGTGGATGACATTTTGAGATGGTGGTGAAAAAAAACACACAAAGGTCTACTAATTGCGACATTTAAGAAATGGGAATGCCAGTCTGATTTTTTGTATGAATCGTCCGAAGGGCGTATCACTAAACTCACCTGTGATGTATGTACAGAACATGAGAGCGAGATACGACGGGGAGGCACGATTCCGAGGAAAGTTGGTCATTAGATCTATAGGCTAATCGCTATGAAAAATATTCTTGTGGAGGCTCTCAGTCGTACAGGAAAGTTCCATCGTAGAAAGGGTTCTGTCAGTCGTCATCTGTACCTGTGGGTAAAAAACAAAAAACAAACAAAAAAAAAAAACAAAAAAGGACGTTTCGCTTCTCTCACAGAAGCTTCGTCAGCGGTAGACAACCCTGAAGTCTCCGTGAAGACTCCGGGAAGTTGCTCTGCGCTAAAAGGCTGAGCGTGGCCTGTTTGAGGACTGGGTGGGGATGGTTAGTCACGCCCCTATGGTGAAGAGGCCCATTGGTTTCTAAACTCCCTATCATTGGGTCTTGATTAGGCCTATTGTTTGGGCTAAGGCTGAATAGCTACTTTCAGTTAGCCTGATCAGCATGTCTATGTCCCTTACTGGTCAACAAGTTATTGTAAATAGGAGACAGGTTAAATCTGATACCTCCTTCACGGTTCAGAGAGGGTGAAAATTTTTTAACAAAAATCGCTTCCTTTACTCCCCTTTCAAACTGTAGCATGGTAACTTTATGAATTAATATTATGAAACAGTCTTGGTTATTTTATAATTTACTGGTTGTAGCATGGTAACTTTATGAATAAAACATTCGTCACAAGTTGTAGTCATGCTAATGTTAACTGTCGGTAGAACTAACGATGACGTGTGGTAGATTCTTTCGTCAAATTGATAGTAGATTACACATGCATTGTCTTGGGAAGAGGATGTCAAGCCACATCAATACTTACCTGTATTAATGATTACCAGTAAATTAATCTTTGCAGTGCGATACTGGAAAAAAATACTCTGATTTTGTGGTACTGTATGCTGTATTCATGATGCCATATGAGTACAACATATTTTGATCCATTTATTTTGTTGAATAATCCTGGAGTACACAGCTGCTGATGTCATGTTCATTGTTAATGCATAGTTTTCAAACATTTACCCTTGAAACATGATACTTTTGAGTATCAGAATTCTTGATTATGAATGTCAGTCAAAATAGAAAAATGAGTTCCCGTGATGAACGTTTACAGAACCCAAAATTTGTTACCGTGGTTTCCCATTGGGTAATCCGACGGAATCGAAAAACGGTTACCGTGAATTTCCTAAATCCTCAGGCGTGCTACGGTACATCTTTTTTTTTTCCGCAACGATCGCAGTTTGACAATCGCCGTCATTGTTATTTTGATCTCACGTTAAGAAATCTCGCGTGACGAGATTTCCGTACTTGCGAGGCGAGATTGGCGAGATCTGCCTTCACCTCGCAGAAAGCAGAGGATTGCCAAGTTGTGTAACGTTAAAACAAGTGTTGCGAATAAGTGTTGCTGCTTCTCAGAGACGTCTCGCTGCCGGTCTCCCCGCTCCTCGTCAGGCTCCCCGACGCGATGTGCGTCCGCGGTGCGCAACTCATCTCAGCGGCCATGAGGAGCCAGAAGAAAAAAACCAGACGGAGCAAAAAAAAAAAAAACAAGGGAGGACTCCGGGCAAGGCTGCAGCACGAGGGCTGGAAACAGCGGGCACTACCAGCGATCATTCTCGCTAATGTCCGCTCGCTACGGAACAAGTGCGACGAGCTCCAGCTTAAGGTAAACAGCTGCTTGCAATACAGGCGCGCTTGCATTCTGGCGTTCAATGAGACCTGGCTCAGCAAGGATGACAGCCATGTACATCGATGGATTCGGGTCTCCCATCAGGCTGAACCGTGACGGAGACGCCACCGGTAAACAACATGGCAGAGGCGTGTGCCTCTATTTCAACACTCGCTGGTGCTCCACTGTCCACGTGAGGGAGAAACTGTGCATCCCAGACATCAAGCTCCTGTCTGCGTCCTGCCGTCCTTTCTACCTGTCCAGAGAATTTCCCCAACTCTTCTTCATCATCGTTTACATCCACCCCAGAGCCAAGCCCACCACGGCGACCGACCACATAAGAAGCACCCTCAACAGACTGGAGCACCTTTCCCCCGTCTCTCCCAAATTCATCATGGGAGATTTCAACCACTGCAACCCAGAGAAATCCCTCAAAGGCTTCAACCAGTACATCACATGCACCACACGCCAGGGGAAGACACTGGACAAATGCTACGGCTCCATCCCTGATGCATACAAGCCCGCCATCCTCCCCCCCGCTCCCCTCGGCTCTGCTGATCACCACACTGTCCTGCTCCTCCCTGCCTCCAGCCCGGCTATCAGGAGAGTAGAGAAGGTAACCAAAAACATCAAACAGTGGACGCAGGAGAGCATCACCGCCCTCCAGGGTTGCCGAGAGTCCACGGATTGGTGCAACCTTCTTTCCCCCTCCGACGACATCAATGTAGATGTAGTCTCCTCATACATCCGCTTCTGTGAGGAAACCATCATCCCCTCCAAGACTGTCACCATCTTCCCCAACAACAAACCCTGGATCACCAAGGAGCTGAGGGAGATCAAAAACAGGAAGAAGCGCATCTTCTTCTCGGGCAGCAAGGTGGAGAAAAAGGAGATCAACATGGAGGTCAAGAAAGTCATCAAGATCGCTAAGCTGCAATACAAGCGCAAGGTGGAGGAGAAACTTAATGGCGGAAACCTCCGTGCAGCCTGGCAGGGCCTGAATAAAATGGCAGCTGTGAACACCACCACCAGCACCGCCCCCACCCTCATCCCTGGGAGCAGCCCAGCCTCCCTCGCCAATGACCTCAACTCCTTCTACACCAGGTTCGAGACTGATAACTCCACGCAGCTCACCAACATCAGGTCCCACCTCCAGCCCGGCAATTCTTCAATCACATTCCACACAGAGGACGTTATGAGGGCCCTCAAGAGGACCAAGATCAACAGTGCACCAGGAGCCAACAACGTCAGTGGCCGGGTCCTCAAGTACTGCGCTGACCAGCTCGGGTGCGTTTTCCAGCTCTTATTCCAGTCCTCCATGAACACCGCCACTGTCCCTAAGCTGTGGAAGCACTCCACCATCACCCCCATTCCCAAGAACAACAACCCCAAGACCCTGAACGACCTCCGCCCACGTGATGAAAGCCATGGAGAGGATCGTCAAGCAGCACATCCTCACAAAGACCAGCTCACGCCTCGACCCCCTCCAATTTGCATACCAGGCAGGCAGAGGTGTCAACAATGCCAAAGCCTTCATCATCGACACCATCTACAAACATTTGGAATTCCCCAACACCTTGGCCAGGCTTCTGTTTGCTGACTTGTCCTCTGCCTTCAACACCCTGCAGCCTCACATCCTGGCACAGAGGCTCATGCAGAACTTCTCCCTGAACAACCAACTCATCCTCTGGATCCTGGACTTCCTCACACACAGAACACAGAGAGTCAGGATCAACAACAACCTGTCTGACCTCCTCGCCACCTCCACAGGCTCCCCACAGGGCTGCGTACTCTTGCCACTGCTCTTCATCCTGTACACGGATGAATGCAGGTCCTAACACCCCAACAGCCACCTGGTGAAGTTCACTGATGACACTGTCCTAGTGTCTCTGCTCTCCGGCTCCACGCAACACCATGGTCCGACCCTGCAGCAGTTCGTCGAGTGGTGTGACGCCTCCCGGCTGGAACTGAACATCAGCAAGACCAAGGACATGCTGGTGACCTTCTCCAGAAAACAGAGAGAGCTGGCCTCGACTATCCCCACCAACATCCAGGGGACTCCAGTGGAAACTGTGTCCGAATACAAGTACCTGGGGACCATCCTGGACAATAACCTGACGTTCTCCTCCAACACCGAGGTGATCCTGAAAAAATGCCACCAGAGGATGTACCTGCTCAGGAAACTGAACTCCTTCTCCGTCAGCAGGGAAATCCTCCTGACTTACTACCAGGCATTCATAGAGTCCGTCCTCTCGTTCTCTATGGCCTGCTAGTTCCACTCCCAAAGTCTACAGGAGAAGAACCGCCTGGACAGCATCAGCAGAGTGTGCTCCAAGATCATCGGACTTCCCACTCGCCCTCTGACTGCAGTGTGTGAGCAGCAGATCCGTGGTCTGGCTGCTCAGATCATGAAGGACCCCTCACATGCTCTCTTCCCTGCATTCGAATGGCTGCCTTCCGGCTGCAGGCTGCGGTTCCCAGCTTGCAGGACAGCGGGGAGGAGATCCACCTTCGTCCCCCAGGCCGCTTCAACTCTTAAACTCTTATTCCAAGGAACCCTGACAACCCCCCCCCCCCCCCCCCCCCCCCCAACCCCCCCCCCCTCCTTTTTCTTCAACAACGGTTGAAGATTAAAAGAAACGTCTTGCAGATATCTGTCAATTCGCTATGTGAATAATGCTGTGTGGAATTTAATGGCACAAGTTAAATTGGGTTTCCACTACACCCACATTTTCGATTTCTTCGAAAACCGAAAACACGCTCTTCAAAAAAAAAATCTTTATTGAATATGTCTGCTCACAATAGAACACTACACGAGGAAGTGTCACTTCCTCGTCTACCCGAGGAAGCATCACTTCCTCGTGTAAGGAAGGCGAGAGGAGTCAAGTGGCGTATTCAAGTGCGCTCAGTTTGGTCGAGAACCGATTTTCGGTCGTAATCCGAGGCATAAAACACTCGAAATTTTTGGTCGAAAACCGATTTGGTTGCGAACAGATATATATATATATATAGATAGATAGATAGATAGATAGATAGATAGATAGATAGATAGATAGATAGATAAAATTAGAAACCATGATTCTGATTTGACTGTCTGGAAGATGGACCGTGTTCATGCAAAATGGTCAATAAGTTGCTATGTATTTTTTTCCAAGTCCACCTTAATGGCTTCCAGCAACATGGGCATTTCTTGCTGCAGGCCTTTGATCTATGTAAAATCTATAAGCTTTCTTCCTCTTCAGCATCTGGTGACCCATTAATCTTTTCTCAGAGACAAGTGTTAAATTTACAAGTGTCACTGATAATCCAGATTAATGCTGTGTGGGTCCACCTTCTGATGCAGATTTTAGCAAATTAATTTTCCTTGTTGGATTTCAAAACTGTCCAGTCAGTATTCCTCACTGTTAAATTCCATGTGCAAATGAGGAACATTAAATTGATATTAATCTGTACGTTATAGCTCCTGATATACATATGCATATCATGTTTTAGTTGAAACAGCACACAATTTAGAGATGTTTTTTTTCAGTGCATAACAAACAATTATAATTTCTGGTTTGGGAGTGAGAGTGCTCTCTCAACCCAGAGGCTACACGTAATTCCCTACTGTATGAATTTATTTAGGAAATGAAGGACTCGAGCGGAAAAGATTACTAGAGTCACAGTTATGGTTTTTATTTGGACCTAATGGTAAAACTTTTAGAAAAATATGTAGAAAAACAAACAAACATAAATGAAAAAAATTCATAAAGGATGATGCAAAAGCAAAAGTTCCTCACCTGATTTAGGGTCCACAGAAAAGTATGGTTGGCCATGAAGAATGCTGTAGACAATCTCTGCACTGTTTCCATATGTAGGGTCATCAGCATCTGTAGCAGTGATCTGTCTCACAAATGTGCCTGGACAAACCATGTGTCAACCCTTCTTAGAAGCAAATTTCACATTACTGAAACCTCCAACTCAGTTATGCTTTAACTCCCACCCTTAAAACATCCTTGAATGTGCCCAGGATAAGAAAAGGATCCCCAAAAAAACTACACAACTAAGTCAATTTGATAACCAACTAAAAGGTATTAACATCTTAAGACCTCAAGACTTCGATTGTTAAATTACCTCATAGATAGCATTTGGCAGACAGATGGACCATTAAGTCAGGCTTTGCATGTGTGCGTGTGTGCATATGCTTCTGTTAAATGCAGTTTCATCCCTGTTGAACCACAAGTGAATTTTACATACAGATTCTTGTATTATCGAAGTGTTTTTGTACAGTCTGTGTAAATGTGATTTTAGTGTCCTACAAGTGATCATGGAAAAAGTCTTGAATAATTTATTCCTTACTTTGTTTGGGAATTGGATGGAAAATATTTACAGTACCTGTCGGGGACATCTCAGGGACGATGGCAATGTGTGGTCCATCTGGAAATCGAGGTTCATTGTCATTGATGTCCTGCACCTTGACAATGAACTCTGACTCAGGCTCCAGAGGAAGATCTGTTCGGAGATCTACGGCTTGGGCTTTGAGTTTGTAGTGCGACTTTTCTTCTCTGCCACACATAAGAAACAGAATTATTTATTGAACAAAAGACCACTCTCACAATATGTAATAAAAAGGCTAGGCTAGTTATGACTACATCCTCATTTTACTTCATGTACAGTGTTGTGCAAAAGTATTTGGCAGCATAAGATATATTATTTTAGCCATTCTATAATGATCTGATGAACTAGAATGAAGTCGATTGCTCCTCAGTGGAGTACAGACCTCTACCAAGGTTGGTAACAAATGGGCAAAAAATGGTGGCGCATAAAGGTTGGTGTCATTGCAAATTTGGGGCATGCACTGTTGCATTTACAGAAGATTTATATTTGTCAGTTTGGTCCACAGAGGTGCAAAATTCATGGTTTCTGAAACGATTTGGGTCAAGAAATTCATCATGATGTAGCCGGATTGATTTGACCTAGTATTTACCTTCATATTCATGATGGCAGCCAATTTTGGGCTATCAAATTGTTATGTTTTTTTAAATTGTTATAGAGCCTCAATATTAGGTGAAGCAGCTTTATCAAGCTCATTTCTTAAACAAGGTAACTCAGTGTGCTTTCATGGTTAAGAATACATCATGCAAAAGCATTTAAAGACTAAAGACCTACGTTGAATGGTGAATAATGTATGCTTTGTATATTATTTGTGCTGTTTTGAATCGCAGTAAATTGTCCAATTTGAGAGTTTTTAATTTGAGAAATAATGGATGAATTGAGGCGGTCTGCACGTCCGCGTCCAAGTGCAGAAGTCCCTGGTTCGTTTCAGACCTCCGGCCTTCCTGTGTGGAGTTCTCCTCATGCCTGCATGGCTTTTCTCCGAGTACTTGGGTTTCCTCCCACATTCCAAAAACATGCATGTTAGGTTGATCAAATGCTCTAAATTGTCTCTAGGTGTGAGTGTGAGCACGGATGGATGTTCATTTCTGTGTGCCCTGCGATTGGCTGGCAACCGGTTCAGGGTGTCCCCCGCCTGCTGCCCAAAGTCAGCTGGCATAGTCTCAAGCATACCCGCAACCTTTGTGAGGGTAAGCGGATCAGATGATGGATGGATTGATAAATTGGTTCAATCTAATTTGAATGGTTAATAATCCGTAGAGGGTTAATAATCTCTTCGTCTTCCTCACCACCAGAGTCATCCTACACACCACCATCCTATGTTGTCTGGCTACACTCTCACCTACCACTACTTTGCAGTCACTGATTTCCTTCAGATTGCACCGTCTACACAAAATGTAGCATACCTGTGTACTCCTGCCTCCACTCTCATAGGTCACCCTATGTTCCTGCCTCTTCTGGAAGAAAGTATTCAAGATAGCCATTTCCATCCTCTTAGCAAAGTCCACCTCATCTGGAGTCCAAACCTGCCCATTGCCTCCTCATCATCTCTGTTTCCTGCGCCAACATGTCCATTGAAGTCTGCACCAATTACAACTCTCTCGCTTCGAGGGGTGTTTCTGTATCACTTCATCAAGGTCCAACCAAAATTTCTCCTCCTCCAACTCACATCCTACCTGTGGAGCATAGCCACCAACAACATTGAACATCTATTTTTTTCAGCACTCTATCCAACACTCTTTTTACCTCTATAGCCCCGTTCACACGGCAACGTTTGGTCCGACGCAGCGCCGAAACAGATCCAGTCGAGCATTCAGACGTGCACATTTGCTCCGGCGTAGCTCCACTAAAGAGCTTATACCGGACCAAATTTGATCCACCTCAGGGAGGTGGTTTAAAAATTTGCTCCAGAGCAAATGCTCGTTTGCGACGCTACGCCGAAACAAATGTGCACGTGTGAACGCAGCTGGATTAAATTTGCTCCTGAGCAAATGCTCGCTTGCGGGGGAGTGGCCTCGCTACGCTCGCTACCAGATGCACGGAATCCGACCCCGGTCGACAGTGACGAGGGGGCCAGCGACACAGACGAAGCCCGGCCGTGCACCCCCGTTCCCGGTAAAAGGGTCGGGGATTTAAGCGGTGAAGACAGCGCTCACGATCAAGAAGAGAATCGAGAAAGCAGTGACGTCAGCCGAGCCCGATTTGCAGGCCCGAGCCCGAAGCAACCCCGACATTTCATATTTTATTTGTGAGTATTTTTGGGAGAAAAAAAACAAGATTTCTTACGGTTAAAATAATCTACATATTTTTATGAACATGATCAATGCATTTGCACAACGAAATAACGCTGAAATACAGAATAAGAGGCCAGACAAAGAGAAATCTCGATGTGCATTTGCTTAATTACGCAGATAAATCTTGTGGCTTACTAGGCTTTAAATAGAATAATTCAAATGAAATAAATAGGTAAAGATATCTGAAATTATTTCTATAGGATTGTTTAAACAAAATTAACATAGATTGACTGTAAACACGTCTTTATTCCACGACTGCCGACAAGTGGATCTATTCTGAACAAGGACAGAATAGTGTCCGCCATAATATTTATTAAAAGAAAAATAAATAAAAGTCCGCAAGAGAGAAGCCCGACCCGAACCTGTTTTACTTCCGCATTCCTGTCTTTTTGGTCCGCAGCAGAAACTGCACATGTGACCGCAAGTGGAGCTGCTCCGACGCTGCGTCGGAGCTGTCACGCTCAGCGGCTTTGCACGTGTGACCGCTCCACAAAATTTGCTCCGGTGTAAAATATATCGCAACAAAATATTTCGGTGCAGCGTCGGACCAAATGTGTGCCGTGTGAACAGGGCTTATGACATTCCTAACAAACTCCTCCTTCAAGATAACTCCTACTCCATTTCTTTTCCTATCTACACCATGATACAACAGCTTGAACCCTGATCCTAAGCTTCTAGCCTTGCTACCGTTCCACCTGGTCTCCTGGACATGTCTACCTTCCTCCTCTGCATCATGTCAACCAAATCTCTACCCTTTCCTGTCATAGTTCCAACATTCATAATCCCTACTCAGTACTATACTCTTGGCGTTCCACTTCTTCCTATGGACACGCCTTCCTCCTCTCCTTCTTCGACCAACAGTCGTCCATTTTCCACTGACACCCTGTAGGTCAACAGCGCTGATGACGGTCATTGTCGGACGATCCAGTTTGAAATTCGAAGGTTTGATTTGCATGTTTGTTTTGGCCAAAATTTTACATCGGATGCTCTTCCTGACACAACCCTCTGTATTTATCCGGGCTTGGGACCGGCACAATAAGACAGTGGCTTGTGCCCCCTTGTGGCTACATTCTCACCACTCCGAACGCTGATTGGCTGTAAACAGTTACATGGTTTTTCAAGTGCCATCTTGCAGCTCATCAATCACTGTAGCTAGCATGGAACTCACTGTCTTTTTGTGAATCTTCCGTGTTTTTTTTTTTTGAATACAAATACTGCGAAAATGGGCATATGCGTGGCTGTGGGGTGTCACAGAATTAATAGTTTTCAGTTGTGTACTGAAATTACTCAGATGCAAGCAATGCAGAGTTGAAAGATTTGGGCCACAAGAAATGTGGCAAATGGCTTCAATGCAGTCATTTCACAAAAACTTTTGATTCTGCCATTTCAAAAATCTCTGCATGAGCAGGAGAGCTGTTCTCCCAGTCGCCTACTCCTCACCACAGTAACCACAATCATTTTCACTCAATGGTGCATCTGCCTTTCAAATGCTGTATAGAAAGATGCAACATCAGCCACCACAACTCCTGTCACATTTAATAAATCCCATTGTGCACGCTAAATTCACCTGCTGGCATTTTCTTTTCCTAGAACACACAAATTGAAGGTCATGGCAAGTTTGCCTGTTAAGCAACTACAATCTTGAGTGCACCCAGTTACCAGATCAGTTTAATTTGCGTGATCAATCAAGCTTCTGCCTGTTTTTGCATGTGCAAACCTTGACTAAATCCGGACCTTAAAATACTAAACTAATTTAAAATATGTTTATTTATATATGTATGTATGTAATATGTAAATAAGTACTTAAATAGCAATACTGACCTGTCTAGCGCCATCAGAACATGTATGTCTCCTGTAATTTCATCAATTGTGAAGATGGACCCAGCTCCTTCTCCTGAAAGAGTGTACTTAACTCTGTGGTCACCTTGGTCCATATCTGTGTGGAGCTGAAAGATGAAAATGCAAAGATATGGTGTAATTCAGGGCTGTCAAACTCATGTTTGTGGGGCTGGGGGGCACTTGAGAGTTACGTCTTCCATTGGAGGGCCATTATAACAGCGAAACCACCAGAATTTTAATCGTCTCATTGTGTTATTACTTGTACACAGCAAATTAATGGATGACTAGCTTTGAAATCAGCGCTCTCAACGTTTTGTTCAATTATTGTTCATGTGAGTGTCAGCAGGGTCACAAAATGATTGCAAAATCGCAACAGTATTTATTACATGTGACAATTTGACATTTCGGTACAGGTTTTAGCAAGCGGACACGGGTCATTTTCTCTCATGAGCCAGATGAAATAATGTGGCGGGCCAGATGTGGCCCTTGAGTTTGACTCCTGTGGTGTAATTTGTCATAACAATGTAATTTCCACAGTGTTTTTCTTCAACTGCTCCATGATATTGTTACCATTATCAACGTTGTTGAAAACGCTGCTTTCACAAGAAATGTATTCGTTTTTTGTTGTTGTTGTAGTTTTTATGCACACATGATATTTGCAGATTATATGGTTTTTTGAGAGAAACAAAACAAACTATGTAAAAAAAAAAAAAACAACTCCACTCGAACTAGAACTATAATGTACCCACCAATGAAACTGAAGTCACATGTTCTGTTAAAAAAAGTAATACCTGTACTTCCAATGAATAATAAAAATGCAAATACAGTAATCCCTTATTACAACGCGATTGATCTTTCACGCTTCGCTGTTTCACTGACTTTTTTTCTTTTTTACAGTGCATTGTGTTCTGTATCTGATTGATTAAGGGCCTGTAGACTAATGCTAATAGTCTCTGCACCTCATAGCCGTATAGCTTGCCATATTTTCTCCATGACAAAACCCACAATGTTGACAAAACATTCTGTACAGTATTTCTAAAAACTGTCAGTTGTTTGTAAGAAAAAAAATATAGATACTTTTTAAAATGCTTTGGCCTGAAAAAAAGGTTCAATCTTTGGTTTCATTCAAAACAGTCCTGTATTGTACACGTAATAATTGAAAAAAATAAACATGACTGTGGTCCTCTGTCACTGGCCTTTTAATTATTCCTAGGGTGAGGACCAAAACACATGGTGAGGCTGCATTCAGCCATTTTGATCCCCAGTTATGGAATAGCCTGCCAGAAAACATCAGGTCTGCAGAGACTGTTGATACTTTTAAGAGGACGCATAAGGGACATATTTTTAGCTTATTTTAGCTTTTAACTTATTTATATACCGGTACTTATTTTAATGTGAGCCTTTTATATTTATTGATGTATTTTTTATTTATTTAGTTAGTTATTTTAAGGAGCCTGTGTTTCGTCTTGGAGGGCCTCCATGCTGGGAGGTATGGTTCTTGTCACTCAGCGTGGATCATCCCTATTTGGGTGCTGATTTTTTTTTTTTTCCTCAGATGGTTTCTCTGTGCTTTGCCATGTCTTTTTAACACAGGTATCAGTATCGTTAGGGTATGTGTGCAAATTTTGTTTGTGCGTGTGTGTGTGTGTGTGTGTGTGTGTGTGTGTGTGTGTGTGTGTGTGTGTGTGTGTGTGTGTGTGTGTGTGTGTGTGAGAGAGAGAGAGAGAATCGGCTTAATGTGGGGATATATATTTGGGTTTGATGAGGGGAGAGGGGGTCCTCTTTTTAAGTTGTACGTTTGAAATGTTTTAACTCTACAGCACTTTGAGTTGCACTTTTATGTTTCAAAAGTCCAATATAAATAAAGTTTGATTGATTGATTGACTACTTTAAGGATTTCACTTACCATGGGTTCTTTCTGGAACGTAACCCCGGCAATAAACAAGGGGTTACTGTACAACAAATCATATCACAATGAAATAATATACAATGAAATAATATAATAGCCTAACTGTCTATGTCAGTGGTGTCCAAACTATGGTCTGTGGTCCATTTGTGGTCCGCAGTCCATTTGTGGCCCGCAATCCATTTGTTTGCGGCCCATGACATAAACTTAAAATAAGATTTGCCATGGCCCATAATGCTAATGAAAAGAAAGAATGGTCTTGGCCAATGTGCAGGGTGTGGGTGTTAAAAAAATGTGGAGAGTTGAGACACCCATATCCCCCATAGGTACAACTACTGGGCAACGGGTGATGTATGGAAATTAATGAAAGAAAGTGATAATGCACTAAAAAAATCCTGAAAAACAAGGTTGATTTGTGACAGACAAATATTTACATCATTCAGAAGTAAAGTGATAAAACAAATTTGTAAAGCTAAAGCAGATTTTTTAAAAAATTTAAATTATAGATGGGACAAATGGTTATGGAAAATTGATATGGGAACAACTAAATAAGCTGACAGGAGGAAACAATTGAGAAATTAGACACCCTTGTCCAGACACAGGCAGCACGGTGGATGACTCTTTAGCTGAAGAGTGCAGCCAAAGAGTGCAGAGGTGCAGGGTTCGATTACGGCTCCGGCCTTCATGTGTGGAGTTTGCATGTTCTCCCCGTGCCTGCCTGGGTTTTCTCTGGGTACTCTGGTTTCCTCCCATATTCCAAAAACATGCATGGCAGGTTAATGGAACACTGGAAATTGTTCCTACGTGTCAGTCTGAGCGCGGACGTTTGCTCATCTATGTGTGCCCTGTGATTGGCTGGCAACCAGTTTGTCCTCTCCCGCTGTTGTGTTTCTTCATAGTGTTAGATTTTAATACGTACAGCAATTTGGGCAGTGTATACTGTGTTTGAATGTGACATAAATAAACCTTAACCTTGATCACAGTTTGTTCGTTTTTGTTTTTTGTTTTTTGTTTGTTTTTTTAATTACTGTACTGAATAATGTAAGATGTCATGTCCCGTTTTCGACAGCAGGTGGCAGACGGTGCTTTCTGGCCGGCTGCACACCTGCTACCTATTTGTTATTAAGCACTGGCTTTATTAGGGCTGTCTTTCGTACTCTCACTCGCCGGAGAATTGCTTGCCGTGCCACTGCTTTGCCCATTGTGTCGGTTCTTTGCCTTTTCGCATTTCGACTTAGTACGCGAGTTAGATTTGGTGTAGTCATCTCGGTGTGTGTTAAATAGTGACAAGTTTGTTTTTCCCCCCTTGCCTTAGTGCGAGCGTTTTTTGTTACTCGGTTTTTGCGTGTTTTCCTGGTACTCGTTTTTTGCCAGCGTTTTATGTTGTCTCGTTTTTGCGGTGCGGTTTTTGTTAATAAATCTTATTTTCATACGGAGTTCTTGTTGTTGTCTGCTGTTTCGGGAATCCTATAGATCAATTTTGGTTGCGAATGAAGCGGGTTCCTTTCCGCTTCGCTCGCAACGTGACATAGGAAAAGTAGGATCTTATGTAAGAGGGAGGACCAGATACGTTTATTTTTCCTCCTACACCCTTTCGAGCATGTGATAATCTGCTTTGCCATTGCCATATTTTGAATTTGTTTGTTTATTTTCTTCTATATTTAAATGTTTCCATTTTAATTTGAATATTATTTTATTTACATGTGTGAAATAGGACGGCCTGGTTGTCGAGTGGTTAGCGCATCGACCTCAGAGTGCAGAGATCGTGTGTTCGATCCTGGCTCCGGCCTTCCTGTGTGGAGCTTGCATGGTCTCCCCGTGCCTGTGTGGGTTTTGTCTGGGTTCTCCGGTTTCCTACCACATTTCAAAAACATGTGTGGCCGGTTAATGGAACACTCTAAATCGTCCCTGGGTGTGAGTGTGAGCATGGCTGGTTGTTCGTCTCTGTGTGCCCTGCGATTGGCTGGCAAAGTTTGTGAAGTCTGGTGAAGTTTCACAAAACCTCAGATTTCTATCTGGACTATGACTTAAAGTTGTCTGTACATTGTACAGTCAATATTGATTTTACAATGGCATCAATTACGCATTAAAATGATTCATTTTATTTTAGGGAAAATTAAGTTTTCACAGCATCAGATTTGTGTTCCACCGTAGACGTTCTTCTTTATATACATTATGACCATAAAAGAGTTCACCATACCTTACCAACGTACTGTGGTCCAGATCCCATGTATTCTTCCAGAACAAAGAACTGGTTCCATATCCAACCTCTTTTAATACGCTGAACGTGTGACCTTCCATGTCTCAGCCTTGTCCTGTCCTCTAAAGATGTCATGGGGCGCATCACCCCACCTTTTTTCCTAAACTGGATCTGAGGGCAACGGGGAATGGGGGAAGTGTCAACCAACAGGAAACAGGAGCACACCAGAAATACAGCGGCATGTTCCCATGTGATCATCAGTGAGAAGCTGGTCATTCCACTTGTTAGTTATTTCAAGGGTAATGCTGTCGGGTCGGCGATACAAATTTTGGATTTTTCAGTGTGGATCAAGCCAATGTATGCAAATGAAGGTCTGCTTTGTTTGCTTCTTCCTGATCTTCTTTTCAGGTCGTTTTTTCCAATCAGCGTGGATTCCTAAAGGAAAGGATACAGATTACAAGATAGATTCAGAAATGAGAAGTTTTGAATATGTTTTATCAACTGCATGAATAGGTGGGTCTCCGGGCATGGCAGGGGTGGCAGCTTCCACCTGCACCAAATGCCCTGCCACCCCAGTTGCCAAGCCTATGGATGGATTAGATATCTTCCTAAACTTGTCTCGTTATTGTCTTTTAATCACCAGTTTAGAATTTACTCCCACACTGATGACCCCCGCTCCAACACCACCACCACCACCACCACCACCACCACCACCACCACCACATTTGAAGAAGAAAATGGTTGCATTCTACCGCACCAACAGTTCCAGAAAAAAGTCAATTAATTGCAATTTACTTGACCATCCCAGGCTGACCACAGACAGTGGGATAAGCTATAATTTAATTATGGTTGCTCAAAGTTTAATATGTTCAAAAAGTCTGTCGAGTGTTGACAGCTCAAATGAAATGTAGTTCGCAGTATTTAGCTACCGGTATTTGGTGTTTGATAAGGGTAAATCTTATGTTTAAACTTGCTCCTTTTTCGTGCCTCTCTCTGTTTCCTTTTGTTTGCCTCACAGCACATAACATTTGCTGAGGTAGGACACACAGAATATTTTCAAAAAGGCTCCGGGTGTTTTTTGTTTGTTTGTTTGTTTGTTTATTTTTTTAAGATCTAGAAAAGACTGTTAAGCTCGATTTGCAAGTTGTGAAGAAACAGCTGGCTAATGAAAGAGCTGCTACCGAGCCTATTGTTGCTACGCTAAAAGGTACCGTAGAGGAGATGGAGCATGCACTCTGGATGTAATAATGATACCGTGCAAATGAAAACTACAATAGACGACTGCCGTTGCCGTGCTCAAAACTAAGTGTGAAGATTTGGAGACAAGATTGCGGACTAAGAACATCAGGATTTTGGGATTTCTGAAGGGCCTTGACTCGTGCTTGACTACTGCTGTGGCTGCTATGTTAAAGGAGGCATTCAGTTTGGAAAAAGAGCTGCTTCTGGACAGGTAGCGTTCAACCTAAGCCCAAGCCCTGGTGAAAAACCCGAGCAATTGTATGCAGATTTCAGTATTACAATGATGTGCTGATATGACATGTTCTGGGTCATCCCCGGCTTCCTGCCGGTGAGACATGCCCGGAACACCTCACCAGGGAGGCATCCAGGAGGCATCCTAATCAGATGCCCGAGCAACCTCATCTGGCTGCTCGACGTGGAGGTGAAACGGCTTGACTCTGAGCCCCTCCTGGATGACCGAGCTTCTCGCCTTATCTCTAAGGGAGAGCCCAGCCACCCTGCAGAGAAAACTCATATTTCGGCCGCTTGTATCCAGGATCTTGTTCGTTTTTTTTTTTTTTTCCCATTAAATATATTTCAGAGAGCTCACACAAAACTGCAGTTGGGCATAATGTATATTCTTTCATAATTTTCATGTGAAAACTGACCATCATGATGTCAATAATAAAATCAGGTCAGACACACCAATAACAATGAAAAAATTACCCTCAGTTAAAAATCCATTTGGGTAATCATCCAAACCCATAACAATAACGTGTGGGCAAAAGAAAGGGCTTTTGTGGTCAAAGGAGCGTTGCTTTCATTTTGCCTTCATGATGTTAAAACACGGTTTGTGACTTTTCGTGAAAATTCAAAGAATAAAACATGTTTCCTTCAGCCAGTAGATGTTAATAACACTACGATTCAAATAAGTTCGTAGGCTCATCTAATGTGTCAAATTGTGACAAGGTATGGTCATGTGGGTCAAGTTACAGCAGCTTCTGTTTGTAAGGTGACATTAAAGTAAATTCAAAATGACGAACTTCATGTTTGGTTTATCGTTTAGTTCAAAGAAACTTTTTTTAGGTCTTTGGCCGGTTATGTATACGACTAAATTCTCATACATTGAGCTGAAACTTAAAACCAGGGCTTGCTTTGTTAAAAATTTCTTGGGGGCGCGAGTGAGGCACCTGCGCTTTGCGAAAATTCACAAACTTTGTTTTGCAACATTATGAAAGCCAAAACACTCCTGCGAGCAAATATGAGGTAAGTTCTAAAAAAAAAAATCAACATGTCGCTACACAGACCATGACGGTTGTAATGTACGTTTTGCACACCGTTTGATTCATTATTTTATTCATTATATGGCATTATTTAATTGTATGTTGCTCCAACCTAAAGATTCACAATTCATACAGACAAGTAACTGCCATGTGTTCAACATTCAAGACGCACAGGGCCACAAGAAATGCCCAAGTGTTCTGAGAAAAATTGTTTGGTCATTCATTAAATCTACACTTCAGACCCATAGACAACATGAATGCTTGTATCCATTTTGTCCAGGGAAAACTAAAACGAGGTGACCGCAATGGCGAAGTGCTGCCGAGTGACACCTCGTCGTAACAAACTTATTTTTCTCCTTGAATAAAGAAAACACAAGACAAGCACTGCGCCCAATAAATTATTTCTCAGTCATTACACAACAGGAAGGAGACTAATCAACATGCTGTTCTCGGACTGATAAGAGATAATGTGTTGCATCAAACAAACCTGCTGTGTCCCTTGTGGCAGCTGCTGCTTAGGTTGGGTCCAGGACAATTTTCCTTCTTTTTATTACTGTTAAACTAAATCACTAAATCATTCCGCTTCCACGCCTTATCTCCTCTTTCTCTGTATTCCCACCGCTATCTCTCATCTTGTTTCTCGTAACCTCTTTTGGTCCCATATATCCCTTGATCCTGTCTTCTCCCTCCCCCAGTCTCTGCCACCTCATTCACGCTTGAATTTCTTGCATTCTTGTACCTGTCGTCAACTTCTTTCTAAAGTTTGATTCATGTATTGTTATTATATTTTCAAAGCCCAACGGGTACGTCTATATTCTTCTCTGTGCATTATTTTGCTCAGATGAACCACAATACTTCAATAGTGTCTGAGAAGCTCACCAGTATCTTTACAGTACCGGTCCCGTTTTTTTCATGTTCTTGTGATATTATAGCAAAAGAATAGGATCTTTAAAAAAGTTTTTTGAAAGCACACACAAAATATGGATCTATTGCATTTTAGCATAGGCTGAAAGCCTTTCTAAGACCTTTCTGAAAGGTGTTAGAAAATTCACTCCATTACCACAAGTGAATGTAGAGCCTCTTGGAACCATAGTTAAGCCCAGACCTTATTTGTGTGTGTTTGCACCCATTGTACTACGTTCTTCCCTGCAGCGTTGATTACAGTGGATAATCAAATGATTGAAATGGATTAACAGTCCAGGCACATGGTATGCATTTGTTTTCTGGTCCGTTCTTGCACAGATGGTGTGCCCCCCTTGAGTGATGCACAACTTAATCTCTCAGACATATGGTAGGCTTAATCGGAGCAACTTTGTGTGTTTGAAAATGTTGTGTAGTTTCAATAACATAGCATGACTGTGAATTTCGTTTATACTAGCAGCATGAACAGTTTCTAGGGTAAGGTACAAAAATTGGAATTGCTTTGCAAGGGCAAAACATTTCGTTTGCCATGCATGACATTATGTGAGATTTCTGCATTTGCATATCTTAAGTCTTGAGACTTCAGAATATGTCAAGAGCATTTTAAGATGAACTCCACACAAATATAATGGGGATAATTCAGCATATTTGGTGTTAATTATAACACAAGCAAAGACTAAAGGTTGTTTAACATTCAAGAAATCGTTGACCACCCAGTAGTTTGTTAAAGCAGAAAAGTAGTGTTGACAGTGCAGTAATAATGGCATTATTCAGTGTTTAGATAAACCCTAATGAGTGTTTATACCAACATCACACACTTCATCATGGCCTATGCCTCACAACCGAAAGCACATTACAAGATTTTCAATTCAAAACGGGTTTTTATGCATCCACCCATCCGTTTTCTACCGCTGATCCGGGGTCGGGTCGCGGGGGCAGCAGCTTTAAATCCTGAGTCGTTCCCAGGCCAGCTGGGTGACACAGTCTCTCCAGCATGTCCTGGGTCGTCCCCAGGGCCTCCTGCCGGTGAGACATGCCCAGAACACCTCACCAGGAGGCATCCTAATCAGATGCCCGAGCCACCTCATCTGGCTGCTCGACATCGGGGTGAAGCAGCTCGACTCTGAGCCCCTCTCGGATGACCAAGCTTCTTGCCTTAGCTCTAAGGGAGAGCCCAGACACCCTGCGAAGAAAACTCATTTTGGCCGCTTGTATCCGGGATCTTGTTTGTTTTTTTTGTTCCATTCAATAAATTGAGCTCACACTAAACAGCAGTAGGGCATAATGTATGTTCTTTCATAATTTTTCATGTGAAAACTGACCATCATGATTCCATTAATAAAATCAGGTCAGACACACCAATAACAGTGAACAAATTACCCTCAGTGAAAAATCCATTTGGGTAATCATCCAAACCCATAACAATAACGTGTGGGCAAAAGAAATGGCTTTTGTGGTCAAAGGAACATTGCTTTCATTTTGACACTTTGACAGGTGGCTGGTTCGCCAAAAGTTTCACCATGGATCTGCATTCATCTCATCTGATGGCTGTTCAGATGTTAAGTGGTTTGGCTGAGACTTTGGGCCACCTTCAAAATTACTGGAAAACAGAGAAGAATATAGACACAAAGCGATTAACATTACATACTTGAGCCCATTTCCTGTCGACCTACATGAGCAAATGAAAAAAACTCTAGTGGTTTGTGTATCTCAATACACACAAATAATTGGTGAGGCCTTTTCTTGCAAATGGGGGAAAGAGTGACAATTCCACAGACAGAAGCAGCAAACATTAACTGGAAACCCTGGAGAACTTTTATATTTAGTAAGATTACAGATAGTTGACCCTATGTCTGTAAAATTTACATGCAGTTTAAACTGCAATTTACCCATCATCCTCAATCATATCTGTCACTAAGATGTCAAGTTTCTTTATGGGATAATACAGACGATAGTTTCCTCATACTCTCTGCATCCATCTTTAGCCCCTGGTTTCTGACAGAGCCTTGAAAACAATCTGAATGAGGAGTCCCTTGTCAGACAA